TCACCAGAGTAAAATCATTCAATGATTGCATTTTATTTAAAGAACACAAAACTGGCTCTGCTGAATTGAACCAAAAATCTCCTCAGTCTGATACTTGTCTCCAGTACTGACCATTAAATGGTCCTGCCTACGCTTTTACCCTCATCATTTTATTTATAAGAGACTTTAGATGGACAGAGGGAAGTCACAGGACCTCCTCATGGATCTCCTCAAGGAAAAAGAACTTCTCAGCAACTGAAGGCCTATCTGACGTTTCTGGGCAGCATCCACCAGCTCCCACACGCCTTCAGAGCTGGAGGGTTCTGCCAGCAAATTGCTATGACACTTCCCCTGACAATTCCCACACGTGAAACTTCTAATCTTCTGGCTATCCTCCCTGTTTCCTTCCCGTTTTTCTGCTCCCCAGATTTATTTCATCTATGAAGGGTCTTTAAAGTTGTTTGAGATGGGCTTAGAGCCATCCCTCCTGGAGGACCAAGAGGAACAGCAACAGTAAATCACACTTAGGCAAAGATCATAAAAATAAAATAAAGGCAATCATAGCAATATCTTCTCCATTAATAAATATGTTACTAGCTTAGTAATATTTATTCTAGAGCAGATAAAGTTTGTTGATTGTACTATTGCCACTCAGCGGCTCTGCAGAAACAGAATGAGGAATTAGTAACAGCATCCTGGGAATTCTTTAGCCTCCTAAAGTTTTTGCTTAAATCCTAAGTTCTGCTTGGTAGCCCTGTTGGCAAGTGTGATTCATGAATCCTCCCAACCATTTACCCCTAGAGTCACCTCATCTCTCTTGTACTACAACAGCAAAGCTGAGTGTTTATCGTGTTCCACAGAATGAGGTGTCTGCTCTGGTAACAATTCCATTATTCCTATGATTTATTCTAGCTATTATTCTAATTATTTTCTCCGACCACCTGCTACGTGAGGCACTGCGAATCACTCTTATCTGTTGTGCTTGCATTTGCCAACAATAAGTAGCAGCGTGTGTGTGCGTGCGTGTGTACACGTACACTACCTGTGGCACAACCACCCGGGTGGTGGGAGGAAGCAGAGCATACTCCCCCCCTGCAGCGTTTTCCCATATGTGGAATGGGGTGGAAAGACCTGAAGTAGAAAGGAAATCCTCTGAGGCTATAAAAAGAATCAGTAATAAGGGAAGAAAAGAGGCACGATGGGGGAAGGAGTGGAGGAGCACAACATAACTGGGACACAGGACTAGTACATCCACTCTGTTTAAAAAAAACAAACAAACTGTAATAATCTTCATGACGAAGGCAGGCAAAAAGCCAGTCATCTCCCACTTACTGTAAAAAAGAATATATACATATAATGAAAGATCTACCTAATATACTCACTCCTATCCATAAATTCGAGTTTTGAGTAACTGTTAATAAACTTTCCAGGAAAACAGTTGCTATGCACACACTGAGCTTTGAAAACCTAGATATGCTTGCAAAAGAGTAACTGATGGGCATCCTAGCTGCCTGATGGAAGTAGCAGGTAACACTTTGAAATCAATAGGTCATAAGGGACAGCAGGAACGTTACTCTTGAAACCATAATTACCTGTTCACTTTGAAGAAGCACCCAGTATTTTTAGTACGCAGTCAGCACAATCAGCAAGTTACTATCTTCCCAGGAGAAGCCCCTGTATTTAATATATCAACTGGTAATGAAGGCAAGGTGCTTACACCTCCTTCTAAAGTCAGCTTGGTTCCTTTTTGTCCTACCCTTCCCTGGTTCAAAAAGCATGTGGCTAGAAAGGAGGTTAGTATCACAACAAACAAAGGTATTTTTTCCAAACTTATTTAGAACTACTGCAAAAATCAAAAACCTACAAGGATCCTTGATAAGCTGCAAGTGCCTTTGTCCCAAAAAGTCAAAGGTATCCTCTGAGAAGATTACACATTTTAGGAGAACACTGCATAAAAGAGCACTACTGCTGCTCATGAACAGCTTAGTACCGTTGCAAGAACACAACAGATGCTCTCCACTTGGTTCCTCTCTTTGCTCTCACACTATCTTTCTGCAGTAGAAGTGTCTAAATATTTATCAGCATGGACTAACATTTCTACAGCACCACATATAAATAAGTTGTTTTAATAACTCAAATCATGAGATAAAATTTTAAGGTGGGAAATAGAGAATGTACTATCTAGCTGAATCCCTGGGAAGAAAGGAATTGCCGTCTGCTGAATACTTCTGTTACGTTCACTAGTGCAGGTTGCAGGGTGGAGGTGATGGTGGTGAAGAAAAAGGGTTGCTTTTACCCTCTTTTCTCTCCTATTTAAGGCAAAGGATCTTTTAAAGCATTTAAGACAGGATGAGAAAGGCAGAGTAGAAGGTAATAGGACGAGGATAGCAGTCTCTTGTTTATCATTCCAGCTTGAAACATGTCACAGTGATCAACAACCTCTTTGCTCTCATTCCCTGCAGCTCGACTTTCTGGAACGCACAGTGATCACTTAAGCCAGGCACCAACCTGCAGCTGCCTCTTTCACGCAGGTCCTTTATTTGTGTGCTGCCTGGTCTCAGATCACGGTGGGGACCCTGTGCACCTCTCTTAGCACAGGCATTTTTGATTCCTTCTTCTCTCTTTTCCCATACTTTCTTCTCTTTAAAACAACACAGGTATAATTCTTCTCCATGTTGATGTGCTCCATCACCTCTTCCCCACCTGCCCGCCTCCCCAACTCCCATTTTTCTTTCTTACTCTGCAGCATTCACATTACTTCTTGAGGGCTTCATCCTCCACACTGATTACTCATCCTCCAACTCCTCAGCTGTATGTTCACTGGCATCAAATCTTAATTTGATCTGTGAGTCCGCTTCAAATTTCAGAACTCATTAAAAGGGCTGTCACTTGAGTTGGTCTTCACCCCATCACCTTTTCTGTATTCTTGAATTCCTGCCTTTTAAACTGTCACCCGGTTTTCCTATTCCCCTGCTTAGCATTTCTCTTTCCTGGCCTTCCAACCAGCCTTTTTGCCAATTCCAGCCCTTCAGCAAAATAAAAAAAATAAATAATCTCTTCTTATCTTAACCTTTCCTTTTCTAAATTGAAAAATTTCTTAATTCTCTTTGGGCCTCATTCTCATCTACTCTCACTTTTCCCATCCTTCCCCATCACAACGTGCAAATTCCTTCCTGCCATGTCCCAGAGCTCCCCCACCATCACCACTGGTCTTCCCAGCTCCTAAAGCCAAGAGACTTTTGGCAGAAACAGTCTAAACGAGCTGGCCTTCTCTGCTCTGTTTTTCTCCTTCTCTTGCTTTTCTTTTAATCCCCCTCCCCACCCAATTCCAGCCTTTTCACCACATTCTTGCCTCCTCTTTCTAAAAGCTTTGCCTTCTGCCTCTTCTATTTCTGCAAAAACTGTCATTAATAAATGGACAAAATACAGCATGGCATTACCCTACCCCTAACAAGCAGGGGAGTCTGCTGGCCTGCAGAAACTGGAGGCTGCTCAGCATCACTTGAAGCTACACCTTTTAAACAGGCTCCCCAAATCTCCTGCAATGAAACAGGAGCAACACCAGATCTGACAGTGGAAAAGCCTCAGCCATTTATCATGAATAAGCAGCAAAGAACAATAATCACTAAATACTTTCTATAGAAGCTTGTAAGTCTGCCTTAAATAATTCCTCCCTCTTTCACTTTACCTCTTGCAAATACCTTAGATTACCATCTCCTTTTTGCTGGGACTCAACCAAGCTTAGCTCTTTAAATCTTTTTGTCAGTATTGCTATTCTTCCACCACAAATCCTCTCCAGCCTAATACTACTTCACTAATGACAGGCCCGTAAAGAATGCAGAACTACAGCTGCAACTTCATGAGATACTGAGTAAGGGACTCAGGTTTTGCTCTGCCTGCATCACAAGTAAATCTAAGAAAACACAGCTAACATGACGTCCACCCTCTACCTCCTTCAGCATTACAGGAAAATAATCCAGGAGCAACAGAGTCTGAGGTAGGAACTTCGAGTTAACTTTCAGCTCTCTCACAGACTTCACCTCTAGTTTTGTGGACATGGCTTTGCCTCAGCCTCTCACTTTGTAACGTGAACACAGCGTTTGCTGAGTACTACGACCTTATGTTTACGAAGAGCTCGAGGAATTCTGCACAAAGCCTCTTAGAAAAACTACCTATCGCAGGTTTCAGAATTTCCTTCATGTACCGTACAGCTGCTTTTTCGATTGGTTCTTTCTAGACGTGCCTGTTTGCAGCATACCAAGATAAACCACTACTGCCTGCCTGTACTTCTAATCAATATATTCCATTGCATTGATAGCTTTTTAGTGCCAGAAAACACCTAGTCTGACTTCTCACAGAAGTATACCTGGGAGTCCTGCGTCATGACTGCAATTTCTGGGCTATTTAAAAAAGATGACGAGTTTTGACTTTAAAAAAAAGAAATAATGAAAAATAATTTACCATGCTACCAGATGAAGTGGTTAATTCCCTACAGTGCTTACCATTTGCTCTTTATTCTTCATTTCAATTTCTCTATAAATGATTTTATATTTTCTTCTACATCATTGATAAAGATATTGAATAGCACTGAGCCAAGAACAGAGACGCTATATAATACACCTATACACTCTACTTCGCAATTAATTACCTTCGAGATAGTACGCTTTTCACTTTAAATCATGTACTATTCTAAATCCAAGGAAAGAAAACCACCTTGGAAAAAAGTAAGAGCCCTAGTTAATATCGGAAGA